AGTCTCGTTGGCCCACTATATGTGGTGGCCATGGCATGGGCAATATAAATAACGCACTAGAAAGAACACTGGCCTGGGAGACAGGTGATTTCCATTTTATCACTAAAACAGGTCTCTCTCACTATGTTACTTTAATGGACCTTGATTACCCATTCAAAATATGGAGATAGTAATGTCTTAGGGAAGAAATCTAACAAATGACCTCACAAGATCTCCTGCTCTGAAAGCACTGTCTCTTGGAAAACATCACTATCACCACCAACTGGGGTAAGGAAGGTTGAATGAGGGTTCTGTGCTCATACACCCAAATCAGACAGGGGGCAAGGTAACTGCACACCTACTGTATCTCAAACTGAGCCTTTCTGGGAAGCTCCTCTATGAGAGCCTCAAGAAGCATGGACCCCAGGAACCATCAGAGAGTTTCTAGTGACAACAACGGAAGGGTTCTTATTCAGAGTAATCACTAGACCTCAGTCCAGGTACAACAAGCCTCCTCACCATTCCTGCAGCTTAGCAGACATCAGCCTTAAATGCCAATCAGGGATTCACCTCCAAACGTCATCCTGTCCAAGAGGTTAAGCACCTGCAGGCCAGCAGTGGGATGGCCATAGGATAGCTCACTGGGATCAGTAGACCCTTTGGTGTCAAGCAAAGCTTGAAACGGGGATCAAGGAGGAAGAGTAGAGGGGAAGAAGTGCTTCCATTTGCAAAAGACTGAGCAGAACTTGCTCTCATCCCCTTAATGTAGGGAGGAGGCAAGAGAATTAAAATGTTAACCAAGCCACATTCAGAGTCTGCAATATGCTGATCAGCCCTGCAGCCAGGCCAGGAGGACACCTTCAGAAGAAAGTAAAATTTTTGCTGGGATTGCTAGCAATCCATTCCCCACTCCTGTAAAGGGGAACCAGGAACCAACAGTCATTCCCTATAGCTAAAAACCATGGGAAACCTATGGATTAGAGGCTGAGAATTGCCATCAGGCCTTTCCCTCTACATATTCTTACCTTTTCATGCTACATACTCTTCCCCTTCCTCGCTGTATATCTGTACCAAAAGAAATGGGTTAACAAAGTCTTTTAAACTATAACTCACAGGAACTAAAGAATGATGACAAACTGATTTCCCGGAACCCTCGGTCCCTTAGTCGCCGGAGAGTGACTATCCTTTCCCAGAGCATCATCCAGGTTCTTGATGTCTCGAACAAAGAATTGAGCAAGACACCAAAATACAGCAGAAAGTAAAGCTTTATTAGTGTTGTAGCCACCAGCCGCCGATAGACATACGGACCACCAGAAATCAGTGAGTTATAGGAAACACGCTCTTTATTCAGCCAACTGGGTCTGCCAGGGGTACGCAGACCCCAAATTAGCAGCCTCGAAGTATAGAGGTACAGGGTTTTTAAGCCCTAAACCCCTATTCTTTATCCTGTTTGAACACACTGTGCTGGCTGGAAAATTACTGCTTGGCTATCGCCCATGGGAACATAGGTTATCACCCATAGGAACATAACATTCCAACAATAAGCTTTCTGTTTCTGTACCCCCACTTGCACAACCTACCTCTGGGTTGACAGTTAGTAAATAGAAGAAAAATAGACCTTTGTGTTTAAGACAGAATGAGGAATGGGATTTAGGGCTTAAAAACCTTGTACCTCTACATTTTGGGGCCGCTTAATTTGGGGTCTGCGTACCCCTGGCAGACCCAGCTTGCTGAATAAAGAGTGTGTTTCCTATAATTCACTGATTTCTGGTGGTCCGTGTATCTTTCGGGGGCTGGCGGCTACAACAACACAAGTCTATTTTTCTTCTTTTTACTGTTAATCCACAGGTCGGTTGTGCAAGCGGGGGCTACAGAAGCAGAAAGCTTATTGTTAGAGCATTATGTTCCCATGGGCGACAGCGAAGCAGTGATTTTTCAGCCAGCACATTAGAAGGGAAAGTACATTTCCAGACGTGGAAGCGGGCCCGAGCAAGAGAAGCGTGGCTCAAAAGGTCTGGTAACAAAGCCTTTGGGATTTTTATCCCTATTTGCTGTGGGCGGTTACTTTTTTTAGAGGGGTGGGATTCCTTGATTGACAACTAAGATTGACAGGACTCAGAGATTCATCATTTGCTTTCTGCTCATGTTCGTTCCCAGGATTCAGTCTGTTATAATGATATAATGAACTTCTGGGCATATGCATCATATTATAATGATGTATAATGAGGCTCAGATAAATTGAAGATTGTTGGGGTCTTTACTGAGCAGGTGTGAGTGACTAGCTTAAACTAGTACCCAATTTCCTGCTCACTTGTTTCTTTCTACTGAGATGGGACATCACTTGTAAAATTCTTAATCTTTTAGCAGGAAATGATATGGGACATCTCTTGCAGAGTTCTTAATCTTTTTAGTAAACCTAATTAAGTTTTCTTCCCTCCTTTCTTTGGAAAAAAAGGCCCTTTCCCACAAATCCTGATAATTACCTGAAACTGGTGACTCAGATCCTCTGGCTTTTGATAAGGATCATCGGTTCATCATATGCAGAAATGGGGCTTTAGGCCAGACAAGGCCCTTAGAGTCCAAGAAAGGTGGGGACCATTAGCCCCAAAGTCAAGGGCAGTTCCCACAGAGGAAACTTAGCCGAGAGCTGCAGGCGTCAAGGCTCAGAAGCTGGGAGAGGAGCACATCAGTCCTGGGAGAGAAGAATCTGGGCAGCATGCCTGGGAATCCACCAGGTGCTGCTAGGATTCATTGCTTACATAATGAATTCTAGAAAACTCCAGGAATCTGATGAGCCTCCTTTTTCTTAGAAAATTTGCAAGAGGAAGGTTGGTGGGGTGAACTACCCCCTCCTCACTGCTGCAACTGCTCATGAGACTGTGACATTGTGATTCATAATAAGAAATACATATTTGGCTTTCAACCTCATGCATAGCACAGAGCTTCTAAAACTTTTGGAATTTTCTGTGATGAGAGCAATGAAGGTGTCTTTTGTTAGGTTAATGAGGTAATTTTGGAAAGCATTTAAGGTTACCAGTGGAGACAACCAAATGATTAGAGGATTGGAACTTTTAATCCTAT